TTAATGGGCAATGAATTTTGTTGTATAAGTGTCTGTCTGAGTCCCCATTTTTGACTCTTTTGGGTATATATACCTAGGAGTGGAATGCTGGGTCATCTGTGTGCAGCTTCTTGAGGAGTTGCCAGACTGTTTTCCACAGCAGCTCCATCATTTTATATTCCCACCAGAAATGTACAAGAGTTCCAGTTTCTCCACATTCTTGCCAACACTTATTTTCCTTTCTCTTTTCTTTTTTAAAAATTGTAGCCATCTTAATAGATGTGAAGGGATATCTCATGGTTTTCATTTGCATTTCTCTAAAGACTAATGATGTTGGGTATCTTTTCATGGTCTTACTGGCCATTTGTATATCTTCTTTGGAGAAATGTCTATTCAGTTTCTTTGCCCATGTTTTAATTGAGTTGTCTTTTTCTTCTTGAGTTGCGGGAATTGTATATATACTAAATAGTTAACCCTATCAGATATATACGTTACAAATCTTTTCTTCCACTCTGTAGGTTGTTTTTTCACTTTCATAATAATTTCTTTGCACAGATGTTTTAAATTTTGATGAAATCCAACTTATCAGTTTTATCTTTTGTTACTTGTGCTGTTGGTGTTTTATATGTAAGAATCCATTGCTAACTCCAAGTTAAAGAAGATTTACCCCATACTTTCTTCTAGGAGTTTTATGGTTTTAGCTCTTATATTGTTGTGGTCTTTAATCCATTTTCAGTCAGTTTTTGCATACGATGTGAGGTGAGGAGTTCAACTTCATTCGTTTACATGTGGAAATCCTGTTGTCCCAGCACCATCTGCTGAAGAGACTGTTCTTTCCCCACTGAATAGACTTGACACTCTTGTCAAAAAGCAATTGGCTATATATGTATGGGTGTATTTCTGGACTCTAAGTTCTATTCCATTGGTCTATATGACTATCCTTATGACACTATCACCCTGTTTTGATTACTATAGCTTTGTGGTAAGTTTTGAAATCAGGAAATATGAGTCTTCCACCTTTATTCTTTTTCAGGATTGTTTTGGCTGTTCAGGGTCCCTTACATTTTTGTATGAATTTAAGGATTGGCTTTTCCATTTCTGAAAAAGCCAGGTTACTCTTTACAGTCAGCTACTAAAATGTTATAACTTGAAATGTCTCTACATATCTGTGGTCAAAATTTAAGTTTCTGGTCATCTAAGAATTTTCTGCTGAGGACCTCCCTGGTGGTGCAATGGTTAAGAATCCACCTGCCAATGCAGGGGACATGGGTTCGATCTCTGGTCCAGGAAGATCCCACATGCTGTGGGGCAACTAAGCCCATATGCCACAACTGCTGAGCCCGCGTGCCATAACTACTGAAGCCCGCGCACCTAGAGCCCGTGTTCTGCAACAAGAGAAGCCACTGCAATTAGAAGCCCACGTACCACCACAAAGAGTAGCCCCCAGCTCGCCTCAGCTAGAGAAAGCCTGCGCACGGCAACAAAGAACCAACGCAGCCAAAAATAATAAATAAATAATCAATAAACAAACATGGAGAGGATGTTGGCCCTGGGGGGTGGGAGCTGCTGGCAGGAGAACGTGGCTGAGGCGGGACCTGCTGGAAGTCACCATGTCCAGGCAGGTCCACAGCCTGTTTTGTTTTTTTCCTTTTTTAAAGAATTTTCTGCTCATTGTCTCCTGAGAGTCTATGTAGAAAAGAGGTCACAAGAACTATATTTTGGAATAATTTTCTAAGTTTGTTCACAAGCAACTTGTCTTATTATCAGTTTAGGGCCAGTTTCATTGAAGTAAGGCTAAAATGGGTGTGAGACAGACTGCTGCCAGTGTGGTTATTATGTATTTTGTTTATATGAGATATTTATTACAACATAAGGTGTTTGGATGCAAAGCTAGATTAAGTAAAGGAAAAATTGTATCATCAGGAGTTCTGATCAGAATGGCAAGCTGAAGCAACATAGAAAGTCCTCCTTTCTGCTCCAAAAACAGAGAGATACTGGAGAAAAATAGAGTAACAACAAAAATAAAAATAACCCAGGTGAAAAAGGGAAATCCCCAGGTGTTGGAAAGGAAAAGGAGCTCAAAGCCAAAGCAGGGAATGATAGCTGGAAACAATGAGGTCCACGGGCCTACTGGGTAGACATTTATGGGATACGGAGTGAAGCTTTAGACCCCTGTGGAATGGCAGCATGGCCAGAGTGGAGGCTCTTGTTTAGAGCCAGATTGCTCAAAAAAACAGTGAAGCAGGAATTAGAAAAATTCCATTTACTGTCTAGGGAAAGTGATGAGAAAGTTTACTGTGTTTAAGTTCCTATAAAATAATAATTAGAAGAAAAGGAATAATCGAGAATTGGTAACCTGAACTTATACCTTGTGTAGGTATGAGGAGTGAATTTATACTGCCCCCAGTGAGGCAGGTACTCTTTGTTGAAGCTAAGAAATTAACATAAAAAATTGGTCAGGTATCAAAGTAAATTTAAAAAGTCCAGCTACATGTCATTATTAGTGAAACTACTTAGAAAACTAAAAACTGCATAGAAAATTTTAAAATAAAGGGATGGGGAAAAAAGAGCATATAGATATTAGGTTGAATATTGTTGATAATCAGCTGTTTTACTCACAAAAGTTGCAACTTCATGTGATTCAACTAATAATAACGGAGAAATTGACAAATCTATAGTGATAAAGGTACTTAAAATTATACTATCAGAAGTTATTACAGAAAAAAGTAAGATGGAGATTTGAACAACAAAATAGACGTCAACAAATAGTGATGTATATTCTTTTAAAATACGCATCAAGTTTTCCCCTAAATTTACTACATGATAGGCCATAAAAGAAATCTCAGCAAATACTAAAAAACTGATGTCATACAGACTCCACTCTCTGAAAACAGTGTAATAAATTTAGAAATCAACAAAAGCATAGTCTGAAAGCTCCATATGTTTGGAAACTGAAAAGAACACTTATGAATGATTCATTTGAAAGAAATCACAATAGAGAAAACTTGGTTCCAGCAGTATGGCAGACTGGACCCTTTTGTAAACAACTAAGAAACTTGTATAAAATATGCAATACATATTAGCTAGATTAGTGTGCTAGAAGAAAATAAAGAATTAAAGAATACTTAGAGGCCAGCAACCAAAGGAAAGCAGAACCTCTAGGAGGTAAGTCTTGAGGGTATTTGCTGAACCCAAGGTTCTTGAACTTCTATCATCATGTATTGGCAGGGTGCAGGGAATAAAGGCAAGGTTCAGGGCCCCACCCAAGATTGGTACCCTACTAGGAGATGCTCTTGTATAAATCTAGGTCTTCCAAAAGGCTTCACCCTTAATTAAGAGAACTAGAAATAAATCCTAGTACAGAGTTGTAGTGAATCATTAGTGGGTTGTGAAATCAATTATGTAGTTTCTATCAGCATTGATTCTTTTTGAATATCACATGTCATAATGCTTCATGTAATTTTGTTTTAATTTTTGTGGGTTAGTGTGTATATGTATATGAATGTATATATGAATATACTTGGTTGCATTGTTACTTTTTACCATCGGTCAGCCCTAGTCAAAAGAATTCAAAAGCTACTGCCTTAGAGAAGCTGTGCCATGTGTGCACAGAGAGACGTGTATAGCTACACATTTCCGCATTATTTATAATAGCAAAATACTAGAAGCAACCTAAGATCCTATCAGTAGTAGAAAGGATAAATATATTTTTATATAATGGGACATTATTCATCAGATAAAAGGAGATAATTATATCTACTTATGTTAACATAGATAAATCACATAATTATATCTATTTATGTTAACATAGGTAAATCACAAAACATAATACTGAATGACAGAAACAAGTTACAGAATGATAGGTAAGTATAATTGAGTTTATGTTAAAAAATAATAAAAATACAATACGCTATTTTGAAAAGATAAGACACCAACTTCAGTATACCAACTTCTGAAGAGAGAATGGAATGGGATTGGGGCAGGGTTCCAAGGGATGGTGCAAGCCCTCCAACTTTGTGTATGTATATGTGCACACACACATGCAGTTTTTCACTTTAAAAAAAAATTAAGTGAATAAAACAAAATGTTAACATGTGGGTGATAAGCACTTAGGTATTATTAGTGATTTTATCTCCTGTACTTTTTTGGCGTTTGTATTCAATAATATTTGATTTTTTAATTGCATCATGCAATAAGTAGATAACTGTTGTAGTTTTTTTTTAATTAATTTATTTTTGGCTGCATTGTGTCTTCGTTGCTGCGCGCGGGCTTTCTCTAGTTGCAGTGAGCGGGGGCTACTGTTCATTGCTGTGCACGGGGATGTCATTGCAGTGGCTTCTCTTGTTGCAGAGCACAGGCTCTAAAGCACGTGGGCTTCAGTAGTTGTGGCTCGTGGGCTCTAGAGTGTGGGCTCAGTAGTTGTGGTGCACGGACTTAGTTGCTCTGTGGCATGTGGGATCTTCCCGGACCAGGGCTCGAACCTGTGTCCCGTGCATTGGCAGGCGGATTCTTAACCACTGCACCACCAGGGAAGCCCTGTTGTAGTTTTCTTATAGGGAGAATCTTTAAGGACTGAATGATGTCAGAATTAGAATCTTAGGTGTTCTTTTGAAGAACATGTTCAATTATGTTATTATGGCACCTTTAATTAGGTGACAGCTGTGTAATTGCATGAGTATAGTAGTCAAGCTGAGAAGCAAAAAGGTATATGGGAAAGGAATAAGACATAAAATCCAACGTTGAAAATATTTTCTTTAGTACATAGTAAGTACATTAATTCAATATCCTGAAATCCATAAGAAGTAACCAAAAAGCATGTTTATTGAATTAGAAGCCCTGTTAAAGAAAAGAAAAGGTTTTCTGAATGTTTCATTCAGGTAAAGCAAACTACCACCCACTGAATAAAAGTTAAAACTAAACATTATATTACTAAAATTGTAACTTGTTGCTTAGTGAACAAACACAGCAAAAAATATAATGTAATAGTTTTGTCATTCATATTTTTTGTTTGTTTTACTTAGCTGGTCACCTGACTTTTGAATGCCGCAATTTTCTCCGAGTAGACCCCAAAAGGGACATAGTTTTGGATGTCAGCAGCACAAGTAGTGAAGAGAGTGATGAAGAGAATGAAGAACTGAATAAACTGCAAGCATTACAAGAAAAAAGTAAGCAATACTTTTTTTTCCCCCTCCATCCTTTAAAAATGTTTCTAAATGTTCTACTATATTATGTCATGTTTATCCATTCTATTATATTTGTCATTAAGATATCTTTTGCCTCTTATGTAAGAAGTACTGCATAGGTAAGGAAATTGTAAGTACTTTGCCCAAAGTCAAACAGTTGGTCAGTGATAGAACCAACAGGCAAGTCTATTTCTGATTCCGCAACACAGGTTTTATTGTGTTTTGTTTTTTTTTTTGTTTTTCCATCTCACTGTAATGTATCACGTGGTACAAAGAGTCTGATTTAAGATTTGGTTTCTATTCCTATTTGGCTACTTCTTAGTATGTGACTTTTAGCAAATCACTTAACTGCTCTGAACTTCAGTTTCCTTGTGGGATAACACAAAGGATTGGATTGTCAAATCACACTCATTCATATCAGAGATCTTAGCAGTGTCAAGCTTTACTGATACCATTGACCCTTGAACAACATGGGTTTGAACTGCATGGGTCCACTTTTATGCAGATTTTTTTCAGTAATACATACTGTAGTACTATATAAGCTGCGGTTGGTGGAATCCACAGATGTAGAACCATGGATATGGAGAAACCGCATATATGGAGGGCAACTATAAGTTACACTTGGACTTTGGACAGCACAGAGGGGCAACATCCCTAACCCCTGCGTTGTTCAAGGGTCAACTGTAATTTCAAGTATACGAGTGATCACGAGGCATAGGCAAAGCAGCAAGAGTTTCAGGACTACAGTACAATCTCCCAGGTACCCACTCTAGCCAAGGTTAACATAAATGGTTTCTATATTACTTACATGAAAGAAAGTCATTTTGGTCATGAAGCATCTCAATTTTATGCCCATAGTTACATTTTCCAGGGATTATGGATTTGTGCCCCATAAATCCCTAGATTCCAGGATTATTTGCCATAAACAATCTTAGACATCCTGCTATAAGCAGTTTATAAATAGGGATTCTCTTGTCAACAGCTTGATCATGGACTTCTAGCTTTCAGAACAGTGAGGAAATAAATTTCTGTTATTTAAGCCACACCCCTCCTCCCCCCACAAAAAAGGATTCTCTGGCTAGCAAATAATTTATTTCCAGGAAGTCTGTCATTAGCATGTTGATGAAGAGATTTGACCAAGTTACCTTCTTTCTTTCCTGGGACATTCTCCTTTCCCCTCAAAAAGAGAACAGATTTCAGACCACTGTTTAACCATTTGTTTCCCATCTTGTGTATAAAATAACCTATCCTTGCAATGGGGTTTTTAGGGATAAAATGTGATGCTGTATGTGAAAATATTTTGTAAACTACAAAATGTTATATGGTAGTTGTCACACAGAAGCAAAATGAAACTTATTTGTATATGGGTTTAGCCATGGTATGAGAGAGATACAAAAAAGGTTAAACTTATTCTAGATCATCAGAGAACAATAAATGCTTAAAAAAATTTTAACCTTTCCATATTATATCCAGTGAAGGTAAGTGAAAAAGTCAAATGCCAGGGTACTAGGACAAGCTGAGAAGGCAGAAGAGGGATAGTGTTCCAAAGAAAGCAAACAAGAGTAACAGTAAATATGAGTATATACAGCTTAAGGGTAAAGATAGCTGCTTGAATATAAATGTTTACTTTTGGGACTTCCCTGGCAGTCCAGTGGTTAAGAATCTGTGCTTCCACTACAGGGGGCATGGGTTCAATCCCTGGTTGTGGAACTAATATCCCACATGCAGCAGGATCTTTATATGTAAATAAAGGTATATATTTACTTCTGCTCCCTACTGAAACAACACTAAAATAGTAGTACAAGAAATTTTTAAGGACATAAACTCACAAGGACAAACAAAATAAGAGTCAAAAAATTTTGCTGAAAAGCAGATGGGTTAGTGATAATGGACTGAACACTTTAAGAGAGCTCAACCCTTTAACAGTGGGGAAAGCTGAGAAGTAACCTGATTATACACCGTAAAACCCCCTAAAGTCTTGATAACGAGTATCCTTGAGTATTTCTGGAATTGAGAATATTTGTAAGACTAAAAACAGGGATTGGTTAAAAGCCTGAAGTAGTTAGATGTTCTGTTCCCTTTCCCTACTCTGTGAAGCCCTGTTGCCTCAGCAGACTGCCACAGGTCTATTTTCTAGACAGGTAAGGCAAACAGTCTTTAAACTGGGCCACACCAAACACAAATGAAAATAGTTAAATTAAAGGTTAGATACAGAATGGTGAGAGCCTTCTAGCCATCTTCACCTATTTGGTTCCCAGACATATATCACCCAGGCAGAAGATTTGAAGATACATCTCTGGGAAATCTGACCAGTCTAAGAAGAATGAAATAAGGATACTGAAATTAGGGATTCTTCAAAGGCAAGGCCTCACCACATTATCAGTGAAGTCCAGATTTCCAAGCTTTGCTTGCTAAAAGCTGCCAGTCAGCTTTTTAGACAATGAGGAGCACTAAATTTCTGAGGAAAGGGTCTCACATGAAATATAGATACCAAAACAGAAAAAATCAACTTGAAAAATATGAGTCTGTATAGGGAGAAAACAGAAATCATTAATATTTAGTTTCATAGAAAGATAAGATACACCATGCATGAAACATGAATAAGGTACTATAAAGAAGAACAAAAGCAACGAAAGAGCTTTTGAAAATTAAAAAAGAAGCAGACATGGAAAACTTGATAGAGTTGGAAGATAAAGTTGAAGAAAAATAAGAAGAGCAAAAAGGGAGAAAAAAGATAGAACAATTGAAGGGTCATTCTAGGAAATACTTCATTCAAATGAGTCCCAGAAAAAGAAAAGAGAAAATTTTTTTAAGAACTGAAGAATTAGTTTCCAGATGAAAAGGTTCAACAAGTACCAGACACAGTGGTAAAAGCAGACCCACACAAAGGCACACCATTATGAAACATCATATCATAGGAAACAAAAAGATATAATCCAGACTTCCAGAGTTGAGGATAAAACAGGACACAGGTGAAGGATCAGGAGTCAGAATAGTTTTGTACTTCTCTAAGGCAATACTGGAAGCTAGTAGAATATGGATAATGCTTTCAAATTTTTGAAAGAAAATTATATCCAAATTAGAATGATATACCCAACCAAATTATCAACCAAGTGTGAAAGTAGAATAAAGACATTGTCAGACATTCAAAGTCTCAGAAAACAATTTGCCTCTCACTTACCCTTTCTTAGAAAAGCCCTGGAATAAGTGTTCTACCAAAGTACGGGAATAGACTGAAAAAAGGAAGACAAGGAGTGTAGGAAATAGAAAAGATAAGAAGGGAAATTTGTAACATGCTAGTAAAGAGAGAGCCCAGAAAGACAGCTGCGCCAGAATAGAGAGCAGTCCAGCCACATAGGAACACAACAAAAGATACTAGGACAGAAAGCCTAAAACTCTTAATTCCACAAGGACACTTTCTACCCCATTCATCTATACTGCTGTTTTTTTTTTTAATAGATGCATAAAACTTTAGAATTAGGAAGAATCTTTAGAACAAATAGTTTAAAAACCAGTTTTGTAGAAAAAGAAAATGAGAACAAGTGACTTTCCAAAGTCAATAGCTGGTCACAGTAGAGCCAGCACCGTGATCCAGGTTTCTTTCCTACTAGTCCTGTACCATTTTCATTACAATGTGCTGCTCTCCTACCTTAGAGATCATCCAGTCTATTGGTTCTTGACCTTTTTTTCCTTATTACATCAATCTTGAAGGATAAAGTACACTCCCACCATGAATAGTGGTTTATTCTAGAGGTGATTTTCAATCAGAAGACCTGGGACAGATCTGCTCTGGGAGAAAGGGGAGGGAGTTAACATATAATAACCCCCAGGACAGGAAATAGTTGGTGAAGCTTCCTTATTAGCATCAGCTTTCCCCTAACCTCACATTGAGAATGGCTTCCATAATCTAGCTTTTCTCCCTTTTTCTTCCTTAAAAGGTATGCTTGACCATAGTCACTTAAAGGCTCAGAATTTGTGTTCCATCTCATGACTTCCACCCAGGACAGTGTTCATTCCAGTATGTCAACCAACTTGTCCTATTTAACATTTATAGAACACCTCACTCAACAACAGCAGAATGCACAGTTTTTCTTTTTTTCTCAGTGCACACAGAACATCTACCAAGATAGACTTTATTCTGTGCTATAAAACAAGTCTCAATAAATTTGAGTGTTCAAGTCATGCAAAGTATCTTCTCTAGCCACAAGGAAATTAAATTAGAAATTGATAACAGGTAGCTTCTTGGAAAATTCCCAAGTAATTGTAGCCTAACACACTTCTAAATGTCCCATTGGGTCAAAGAAAAAAAAAGAGCCAAAGGAAATTAGAAAGTACTTTTCAACTGTATGAAAATAAAAATACAACATAACATTTATGAGATGTCCCTAAAGCAGCCCTTAGAGGCAAATTTATGGCACTCCATGCCTGTATTAGAAGAGAAGAAATATCTCAAATTTATGACTTCAACTTCTACCTTAAACTCGAAAAAGAAGAGCAAATGAAACCTGAATTAAGCAGAAGAAAGGGCATAATAAAGATCAGAGGTGAAATTAGTGAAATGGAAAATAGAGAAACAATAGAGAAAAATGAGTGAAACCAAGAGCTGGTTCTTTGAGAAGATCTATAAAAGTGAAAATTCACTATCCAAACTGATTGGGTTAAAAAAAAAAGTCATAAATTACCAGTATCAGAAATGAATGAAGTAACAACACTACAGATTACACAGATGCTAAAATAGAATATTATGAATAATCTTATGCCAATAAATCGGACAACTTGGATAAACTGGACAAATTACTTGAAAGATACAAACTACCAAAACTCTTTCAAGAAGAAATAGGTCAACTGAGTGGTCTGCATCTATTACAGAAGTTAAATGTTTTAAAACTTTCAGTGAAGAAAACACCATGGCTGAATGGCTTCTCATGAATTCTGCCAAACGTTTAAAGGAGAAGTAATACCACTTCTACATAAAATCTTTT